AAAAGTAAATGCTTACATAGATGTGAGCAGAGTGAGCACTTAATCAATGTTACTAATAGACTAGAGCAGCCAGCAAAGCTCAGAGACTTCATATTTTTGCTTAAAATATAGAACCATCTAATAGGTTATGTTCATACATTTTGAATCTGGAGGAAATTATTTTAAGTCTATTTATCTATTTGTCACAGCTGAGAATTAAATAATCCTTTAACCGTCCTGTGTGGATTCAATTCTAGGTGCTGGGGAAGCTCAAAAGAGAGGAAGGGCTCACCTTCCCAGCCTGGTGAGGACAGGGAAGGCTTCTTGCAGGAGGTGATTGTTTCACTCCATGTTTGTGATTCATGTTCATGAGTCTCTATCCCTGACCCACGCCTGAGCGCCAGTCCCCGGAGTACAACTGCCTATTGGACAGCCCCACCTGGATGTCCCCAGACACCACAATCCCAATATATCCAAACCTAAATCTCCCCAAGTTCCCACAAGAATTAGGAAGTCATCCCAGATGCCTCCGTTCCCCTGAGTTCCCGCCCCATGTGGGATCTTGAAGAAGGAGAGGGGCCAGCCAGTGGAGAAATGGCCCCCGTGAGGTGAGCAAGTGAGCGCAGAGTGGGTTTGGGAATTGCAGGAGGCTTGCAGGGAGGCATGGTGGCCGCTAGAGGAGGGGTTTAGGATCTTCAAGGGCCACTGGGCACTTTAAGTGGATTTGCATTTTAGAAGGATTGTTATCAGCAGAAGAAGGCTGGTTGGAGCCCACAAGAGCCTTGGCTGGAGACCTGCTCAGCGGACTTTGGGAAAGCAAGTGTCTGACCCTTCTACTTTGACCCCAAGTTTGCCAGGACCAGCAAGGCTAGAACAAAGTGTCTTATGACAAATTGGCCAATTACGAAACCTTTGGATTTTCCTCCCACCTCAAAACACCACTCAAGCACTCAAGGGAGGGGGAAGATTGAGGAGGGAGGGAAGCAAAAATAAGATCTCTTCCTCTGCTCTCAAGGGTGCAGGGCTGCCAGCCAACAGGTTGACAGGAGACCTGGTAGGCAGGAGCAGGTGGCAGAGGTGGGCTTCGAGGACCTGGGACAAAGCCAGTGCCTTCTTGGAGCCCTGCCTAGTGTCCTTCACTCTAAGGCGGTGGTGGGGGGGGGCAGCTTGACACTCTTTCCCACAGCTGATAGAATCAGGCCTAAAAACACTTCTGGAATCCTAATCCACTTTCTTCCAAATTCCAGCCCTTTAAAGAACAGTCAAGTTCTCTTAATATTGACATGAAAACAAGGGAAATACAACTTTTCTCTAAAACAATTTTTAAAGCTTTACCCTTTCAAAAGGAAAAGGACAAGGTTGTCCAGAGCTGGTTCTGCCATACTGTGAGCTAATTCTAGAAAAAGAAGTTTAATTTTATTTCTTTTGTAGTAAGAGCTAACTTATTTACTCTGAGTTGGGTGCTCTCTTTTATGATTATCCTTATGATACAGAGGAGGAAATTGAGGGCACAAAGAGGTGTGTTAACTACCCCAAGGTCGCATGGCTGATGGAGGGGAGCCTGGGTTTGCACTTGGATGGGCGATTCCAGAGTCTGAGTTCTTCACCACTGCACCGCTCAGTTTGTCTGGAGGAGGGAACAAGCATCTTCCCGATTTCTCCTCATCTTGAGGCCGTTGCTACAACCTGGGCAAGGCATAGTGAGGGCGTGAATTCAGAGGTGGAGGTGGAAGTAGAGGAAAGGGAGCCATTTGAATTTATTTAGGAAATATATATTTAGGGTAATTTGAGAAAATATATTTAGGAAAGGCATGATAACCTTTAGGATGTGAGAGGCACGTGAGATGATTCCATGTTTCCACAGAGAGTTGTTCCTGAAGTATTTTCATGATTTATTTCCGGGGGGGAGGGGTGGTGGCTGAAGGGGATACAAGGGAGAAAATATGTATGCGATGTATTTCTGACCTGAAGTGAAAAATGCTGGAAAACTGACATAAGTATAGTAAAGAACCATTATTCAATTCCTCTTTATCCCCTTGTTACTATCACTCACAGAAAGATAAGAAATCCTGTTCAAGAAACCTTCAGTATGCCTGATTACAAAACCTTTGGGAATGAAGAAAGGGGCTGTGGGGATACAAGTGAAAGTTCGAAGTCTCAGAGAAGCTAAGAAACTTTGATAGCTGAGAAATAGGATAAATGAAAGAATATCATCACCGAAATTTGAGACAGAAAAGGAGATTAAATAAACAGTATTATAGCCAACGTCATACCAAGTAACCACAAATGCAAAGCAAGGTATTTTAGTAACCATGCTGTAATAACTTTCTAAAACATTGTGAACTCCACAGCTGAGCTTAGGATAATATTTACAAACTTAAGGGCTGATCTCAACATGGTCTTGTGCTTAGGTGGCATGTCTCCTGCAGAGAGGGGAGACCAGATCCAAGCTGAGTTGTAAAAGTGATTAGAGTCAGAGAGAAAAAGAAGGAAAAAGGAAAGCTGGTTTGCAGGGGGAGGTATTTAAGTTCTGCATAAAGTGTGTTCTGCTACTGAGGAAAAACCGGCTGTCAGCACAGCACCCCCTAGTGTTTGGGAGAGTCACTGCAGCTTTGCCCTTGTGGTAAGGCCAACGTTGGTCAACTCTGTTAACTCCAGCAAATATTTACTGTAGTAATCTCTAGTGACCCAGGGCCTATTTGGTGTGCCCAACTGTTGGTTTGTGCTGGTATCTTACCCCGTGCTGGTATACTCCACCCGGAAATGGAGTGTTCTGGCCTGGCCTGGTTGGAGGCAAGGATATGAAAAGCACGCTGTGGAATTATCTCTCAGTGCTTGGGAAGTTGCCTACTAGTGCCTTTAGGGGGAGGATGGGGTGCTGTTCCATGTTTGAAATAAAGGCTTTAGTCTTTAGTTTCAATTTAACCTACAGTTTAAAATTTCACCCAGTATAACAGAAACATAACTACACAGCAGCCTCTGATGTGGTGTAATGTCAGATGTGGGACCAGCAACTTCTTTGAGAAAGATTTTGGTGGCAGCCAGCTGTCCTGAGGTGCCCATTTCTAGATTCCTTTCCCTTCCCTCCCCTTCCCTTCCCTTCCCTCCCCTTCCCTTCCCTCCCCTCCCCTTTCCTTCTCTCCCCTTCCCTTCCCTCCCCTCCCCTCTCTTCCCTCCCCTCTCTTCCCTCCCCTCTCTTCCCTCCCCTCTCTTCCCTCCCCTCTCTTCCCTCCCCTCTCTTCCCTCCCCTCTCTTCCCTCCCCTCTTTTCCCTCCCCTCCCCTCTCTTCCCTCCCCTCCCTTCCCCTTCCCTCCTTCCCTCCTTCCTTCCTATCTTCTTTCCTAACTCCCTTCCTTCCTTCCATAGCCAGTTTAAATTGTTAAGAGATGAAAAACTGCCTTGCTTTGGATGCAGCTCTATGATTTACTGCCTTAGTGTTACCATGGGCAGGTTGCTAAATCTCCCCATTCCTCAGACTCATCTTATGGAAAATGGAATAATAATAGAAAGTACCACGTAGGGCTGTTGTGAGGATGAACTGTGGTGATGCATGTACAGCACTCAGCATAGGACCTGACACAAAGAAGGTATAGTGTTAGCTAATCGGCATTTGAGTTATCACTTTGGGCTTTGTTTAACTGAAGACAAGCAGTTAGATTAGCATTGAGCTACTTCACACAGGGCTGGTAATCTGAAACCAGTGAGAACCTCAGCCCTTCCATGGAAGCACTATTATGGGGAGAGATTATTTAACAAATACAAGCCCCCTAGGTTCCTGGCAGGGCTCTGTACCTGGTGCCAAAGAGACTGAAGGCATGGTCTTTGGCGTCAAGGTTATTATCTTATTAGCAAAATAGCCCCAGCGTTGTTTATTGCTACCTATAAAAGCATCTGAGGGAAGCTTTCTGAAGGAGGCAAGCTTTGAGCACTGCCTCCTCCCAGAGCGCTCTGCATGGGGCCCTGCCCCAGCATTCTCATCACGTCATTGACTGCTCCTTGCATCACCCCTGAAGAGGAGAAAAGGCATATTCCACCTTGGGGGTGCTGTGGAATCTAGTGCAGCAGGCTTGGGAATAAGACATGCCTGAGTTTAGCCCTGGTTTATCCACTCTGTGGCAGTATGACCTTGACCAAGTTATCTAACTTCCCGGCCTCAGGTTTCTTACCTGCAAACTATGGGCTGTGGTGAGGAACACGTGCCATGAGGTGTGTAAAGCCCAGCACACTATCTGACACACAGTAGGTGCTGTGAACATCTCACATCCCGTCTCCCTCTTCTTGGCTGCCTTCGAAGAATTGATAAAATGAACACTATGGAATTGGCTGCTCACTGTCCTTCCTCATTGCCAAGAATTTCCTAGCCAGTTGGCAATGGGGAAAAAAAGCTTGGTAAATAATAACAATAATAGCTGCGAACATCAGAATAGCTCGGATTGCTTTTTGAACCTGGAAGAGTGGCCAAAATTTAGGTCCTATGTGTTCCCTCTAAAACTCCACGTGGGAGATTTTGGAAGAGAGGACCAAATATTGGGCTGTGCATTGATGTAAAGGGAAATGAGCAGCAGCATGCACACTTGGTCCACCCTGCTCCAGACAAAAACCCCCACGTGCAACTGCCAGAAACACCCTCATCCTTTCCCTGTACAAGTTTGCCAGACCAAACAAATCTGTATCTAAGAATGTGTTTTTTCTAAAGGGAAGGATCTATATGGAAGGCAGATCTAGAGACCTAGAAGCAGCCCAAACTTCCTCTCTGCCTGGGGTTGCATGTAGCATACTTTCTCTTAGTCCAGGGCCAATTGCACCGGTGGCTGGGGTGAGTTCAGCAATTAGAGTCAGCACTAGTCGGTGTACCCCTCAGGCATCTGCCAGCAGCAGTATGGTCTGAGCCTGAGTATATTCTTAATTCTAAGAAGAAATATGTCAATGAAACTCCCCTATAATTTTTTTTTAATTGAAAATGTTCATAAGGTAAAGTTATTATGCGTGCTAAATAATTTTTTCTGTTTTGTTTCTTTTAGGAAAACTCTGTTATCCCTGAACCAGGCCCAGATGGTAGGTCCTTGGGAAACTCGACGTACATTTTATTGTTTCCTGTTGTGTACCCTGGAGACACATGTGCATTGCTCCCTTACCCCTTTTCCTACTGTTTATTACTTTTGCTTCCATTAAAAACTATGTCTTTGTTAGGCTTGAACCTAGTCTATTGTCCACAGCATGACTGGGTAGATTTAACTTGGCTGCTACATGAAATAAAAGAAGCAATGATAGAACCAGAAGAGTTACCATATCAGACTGCCAACTTGTCCCAAAGAGTTTTCGACCTAAAATGTCTTCAATTTGTGGACCAAAGGCAGAACTGTTCCTCTTTTGATCTAATGACAGAGTTAGGTTACTCTGTCCACCATAAGCTGCTATTCAGATAGCCAAATCGTGTCCTAACGCTAACCCAAACTTTGAAAAGGAGTGAGTCTACAGAACTTAATCTTTTCATTAGGAAAGAACATCATGCCAGGAAGACCAGGACGTTCTGTCCCGTGGGGATGGGAGGGTCTGCATGGAGCTCTGCCCCACTGCCCTAATCAACCACGTGCAGAAAGTGAGTGAGCACACTGGGGCAGGGTTCCCACCACCTTTGCTCCACTCCTCCTGGCCCCTCACTGGGCGAGCCTGCCGGGTGGAGCTGACGCACGTTTCCTGGAGTGGTGTCTGTACCTGGGGAGGTTGGCTGGGGCAGATCCCTGCTGACAGTTTTCCAGTCCCTCCTGTCCCTAGAGTCCCACTTCATAATCTGCAGGACTCTGAAGTGAGGCTGGGGGCAAGAGGGAGAGTGTCTAGAGAGAGCTCATCCCATACCCAGCCACTCAGGTTGCCTTTCTGTCCTTGATGAGTTGGACCTGTGCTTCCCCACCTTGTCCCACCTCACCCCAGAACTGTAGCTTCTGTGCGAACATTAGATTGAAGGCAGCTTTCCTGGAACCTCCAGAGCTTTGCTACTCAAACGTCAGCTGGGTTACTGATTTATAGTGATAAGAATACAGGCAATAGCTGTTCCTATCAGTGTTCAGCAAGTAATGTATATTTAGGGCTTAAGTGTTTTCACCAAGATACCATGTTCAGAGACGTGCAAGAGGTACCTCACTGAAAAGTTGAGGTGAAAGGTCCTGAAGAGTTGGTGTTGACTCCAGAGGTGGCCCGGTGAGGGCAGTCTTCGACTCAAAGGATCCTGGCACTGCTTCTCTCTCTGAAGCAGCATTCTGCTCTCACTTTCTCGTCCCTTGCTGCCCTTGAATTGGAAGGAGAAGGGATGGTAAATTTCAGCGAGGGTTCTGGCAAGTCAGATTTAATCCCTTATTCGAAATTTGTAACTTCAGAAGAGGAAACTCGGAGATAATTTTCCTAACTCAGATGACTTGTCCCTACCTTTGATCTCAGAGTTCACCCTGCCATTTCTTACTCTGTTCACCAAAGCCAAGGACAGAGAAAGTTCTACGGAGCCACACCTGGTGGATCGCCCATGTTTTGTGGTAAGGGCAGTGTGTAAGACATCTGAATGCATAGCAGAGCCTTGGGTCTCTTTGTCTTTCTAAGGCAGAGTTTTTTCTCAGGGAGATATTTGTAACATGGTCCTCTCAGTCAGACTAGGCCAGTAATCCTTTAGGACTTATTTCAGCACAGGGGCTCAGTAGCATCATTATTTTAAACTTGGAAAACTGACAACAACAATATCACCAAATCTTACTATATTCAAACCTGTGAAGGGGAAATGCCAGTTGAAATCTTTGGATGGTTTAAATTAAAGCTGCACTTTTTAAAAAAACAACAGGCATGAAGCCTGATAGCTCACAAAGTGTTGCCAAGCCTAGATTCTGCCAGCCTCCCTGGAATGAATAAATAAGAATCAGGGATAGCATATTAATTGTCTGGAAACTGTTATCTCTTAGAAAACAGTTTTTTTCTCTTAGGTGGTTGACACATTTCTTACTACCAATAATATCTTGTTTATTCTGTGTATTAGTCAGAGTTCTCTGGAGAAACAGAACTGAGAGAGAGAGGAGAGAAATTTATTATATATATTTATATAGAGAGTTATTATTTATGTATATATAGAGAGCGCAGGGGGAGATTTATTTTAAGGAATTGGCTCACATGATTGTGGAGACTGGCAAGTCTGAAATTTGTAGGTCTGACCAGCAGTCTGGAAATTCAGGTAAAAGTTGATGTTACAGTTTTTTTTGTTTTTTTTTTTTGTGAAGAAGATCAGCCCGGAGCTAACATCTGCCAATCCTCCTCTTTTTGCCGAGGAAGACTGGCCCTGGGCTAACATCCATGCCCATCTTCCTCTACTTTATATGGGATGCCGCCACAGCATGGCTCAACAAGCGGTGCGTCAGTGCGTGCCCGGGATCCGAACCGGTGAACTCTGGGCCGCTGTAGCGGAGCGTGCCATAAACCTCTTGCGCCACCAGCCTGGCCCCTGATGTTACAGTCTTGAGGAGAATTCCTTCTTCAGGAAACCTCAGTCTTTTCTTTTAAGGCGTTTGTAGGGGAAGAAAACTTTTCCTTTCTTCCCTTCTCAGTTCTTTGGCTGGCCTAATAATTAAATTGACACAAGGCAGATTAACAGGAGAAAAACAATTTTAATTTCATACGTATGGGAGCTCATAGAAATATGAGACTCAGAGAAGTGACCAAAGCAAGCAGCTTTTATACTGTTGTCTAAACAAAGAAACAATAAATTTGTGAAGAACTGACAAAACAAAGAAGTTTGGGCTTGGGGTAGTAAATTAGTAAAGAAGTAACTAGGTTTGTTTATATAGCCTTGGCTCTGAATTCCCTGTCTCTGGTGATAAGGATGTCTCTGTATTTGCTCATACAGGGAGGATACCTTTCACACGGGAAATTTATTTCCTGCTTTCAGGGGGACAGACGAGGGTCAGAGTGTCCTTCTTGCACTGGCTGTTTCTTAAGAAACTTGAATTCAAAATAATCAATAAGCCAAAGTGGCATATTTTGGGGTGGTCTGCCCTGAACCCCATCACCTTCAATTGATTGGATGAGGCCCACCCACAGTGTGGAGGGTAATCTGCTTTACTCAAAGTCTACTGATTTAAATGTTTTTTTTTAAATTGAGGTATAATTGACATACAACATTTTATTAGTTTCAGGTGCACAACATAATGATTCACTATTTGTATATATTGCAAAATGATCACCACAATAAGTCTAGTTAACATCTATCACCATACAGTTATAATTTTTTTTTCTTGTGATGAGAACTTTTAAGATCTATTCTCTTAGCAACTTTCAAATATGCAATACAATATTATTAACTATAATCACCATACTGTACATTACATCCCCATGACTTATTTATTTTATAACTAGAAGTTTGTACCTTTTGACCTCCTTCACCCATTTTACCCACCCTCTACTCCCCAACTCTGGCAACCACCAATCTGTTCACTGTATCTAAGAACTCAGTTTTGTTTTTGTTCTTTTTTAGATTCCATTATATAAGTGAGATCATATGGTATTTATCTTTTTCTATCTGACTTATTTCACTTATCATAATGCCCTCAAGGTCCATCCATGTTGTTCCAAATGGCAAGTTTCCTTTTATATGGCTGAGTAATATTCCTGTGTGTGTGTGTGTGTGTGTGCATGTATCACATTTTCTTTATCCATTCACTCATTGATGGACACTTAGGTTGTTTCTATATCTTGGCTATTGTAGATGATGCTGCAGTGAACACAGGGGTGCTCAAATGTTAATCACATCTAAAAAATACCTTCACAGCAACATCTAGTGTTTGACCAAACCACTGGGCACCTTAGCCTAGCCAAGTTGACAGATGGAATTAACCCTCGCATGCAGTTATTTTGCTCTGTGGAAGATTTTTTGCTTTGCAAGACTTAATTGGGGTTGCTGTTGAGTTTGTTTTCCTCTATGGGCTAAATTTTGTATCTGGCCTTTGAAACCAAGCCCTCTCCTTTGTCCATCGGAAAAACGCCAGGGTGCCTCAGAGTCTTAGAGGGGTCATTCCCTCTCTCACTTGTTTTCTCCTTCTCCTTTCTCTTACCAGAGGTGCTGCTGAAGATGCATTCGGTTGGAATCTGCGGCTCAGATGTCCACTACTGGCAGCACGGTCGAATTGGGGATTTTGTTGTGAAAAAGCCAATGGTGCTGGGGCATGAAGCTTCAGGAACAGTCGTAAAAGTGGGATCATTGGTAAAGCACCTAAAACCAGGTCAGCAAAGCCCTTCAGCTCAGGGATTTATTTGTTCATTCAACATAAATATTTGTGCATGCTTTCTTGGAGCCAGGCCCTCTCTTAAACACTGGGGATACAGCAGTGAACAATATAGTCTTGGTCCCTACACGCATAGATCTTACCTTTCACAGGGGAAGGCAGAGCTGGGACAGACAGTTACTTAATTACAGTTGTGCTGAGGGCAGCAGAGAAGAATACAGGGTGTGATCTGTGTGTTCTACCTAGACCCCTGTCTTGTCTGAGGGACAATTAATTCAGCACCTGAAGGTAAGTAAGAACTAAGCCAGGAGAAGGGGTGGAGAAAACGTTCCAGGTGCAGGAACCACAAACTGCTTCCACAAACTGCTTCCACATGCTGAGAACCAGGGCTTTTGATGCAGTCTTTGATTTTATTGGATGGCTGGAAAACCACCAATAGTTTTCTCGATTTTGCTTAGTTCATTCTCCCAGAGGGAGGAATTCTCAGCTGTGGCAGACTGTGATGTTCCCAACATAGTGAATTAAATCCCAGCTGTCTTGGCATAGCAAGCCATTGGCTGTAACCTTCCTTTGCTAATGAGGCCACTGCACAGCCTGGAGATGAGGTCAGATTATTTGGGGGATGAAGGGAATTGGCAAGAGGTGCCGTCCTGTGTTAGTTATAAGGCTCTTTGAGCCCGGCTACATGGGGAGGGCTTGACCAGGTCTGAAGAAGCTAGATGTGTGTCTCATTTAGTAATGTTAAGTCAGGCCCTCCATTCATTATCAGTGGAAGTCAAGAAAGCCCCTGAGGTTTTGCAAGGTTATCCCGAAGTGGAAGGTTCATAGCTTCCAGCAACCACTGATTGGTCCTTACCTGTGGGATGAGGTCTCTAAATGTAAGTCATAACAAGGAGTGGGGGTCTCTAAATTATAACAGATTCTTAGTCAGCATCTACAATGGGTCCAGCCTTGTGCTAGGTACTTTGAGGGATATAGAAAATTGAGAAGATATGATCCCTGGATGCTTTGGTCTAGTTGAGGAGACCAGACGTCAGGACATACGTAAATACCAACAATTAAAGGACAAGACCATAGGGTGCTGTTGGTTTGCAACCTCCCTGGGAGCTTCCCAGCCCTGTATATGGAGGGCAAAGGGAGACTGAAGAAAGAGGTGGACCGCTCCAGATTGGTAGGTAGCAGGTTTAATAAGCACTGGAGCTTACATGTGAGGCTTGTCTTGGGCGGCTACAAGACAAGTAGATCTGCGCCCCTGCCCACCAGAATCTTAAAAGTTTTTATAGAGGCCTTAAATGGATTCAGTTGTGTATACCATCCAGCTGGTCTCAGCAACACATTGCTCTCTCAAGCCTGAATCCTTGAAAATGGCTCCCACTGTGGGAACGGTGGGGAGAGTGTACATTGCAAGCGGGGTGGGGAGTGGGGGTGGTGAGGAGCCACCAATTGCCTAGGTGCAGTTCTCGGGTCAGCTGGTGGTCACGTCCTCTCGATGACCTCCTCCAACAGGTGTATTCAGGTATGGGAAAGAATAGGCTCTGGCATTTGTTGTGGGCAGAGGTGCTTAAAAAAGAAGGTTCCTGGAGGAGATAGATTGAGCTGGACATTTAACAATAATAATTATAAGAAGAAGAAAAAAGCATCTAACATTTATTGATTTACTATTTGTTAGTCTCCAGGTTAAATACTTACATGTATAATTATTTATTTCATTCTTGAAACAACTCTATGAGATAGTCATCATTTTCCTCATTAACAGGGGAAAAAAATGAAGTGTGGTGATTGTCCAGGGTTGCACTTGTTATTCTGAGACTAACTAGTCTGGGGTGCCTGGCTTGGTCTTCTTGACTCTGAAGCAAGTACTCAGAACCACTGGGCTGCCCGGCATCTGGAGACTTGAGAAAAGTTTTGTTTTTGAGTTAGTGAAGAGGTCAGAATCTAATATTCTAGTTAAGTGGAACAGAATAATAAAATTATAGAGGTGGGATTACGTATCTGGGTTGCTAATAAGTTGCTGCCTGGAGAAGAGGTTCTGTGTTAGGAAGTTAGTGGAGATGATAAAAATGCATAATCTGGGGGCCAGCCCCGTGGCCTAGTGGTTAAGTTTGGCATGCTCTGCTTTGGCGGCCCAGGTTTGGTTCTCAAGTGTGGACGTGTACCACTCATCGGCAGCCATGCTGTGGCAGTAACCCACATACAAAATAGAGGAATATTGGCACAGGTGTTAGCTCAGGGTGAATCTTCCTCAAGCAAAAAGAGGAAGTTGGGGACTGGCCCAGGTGGTATAGTGGTTAAGTTTGCGCTCTCCACTTCGGTGGCCCGGGGTTTGCAGGTTTGGATCCCAGGCATGGACCTACGCACTGCTTATCAAGCCATGCTGTGGCAGGCATCCCCCATATGAAGTAGAGGAAGGTGGGCATGGATGTTAGCCCAGAGCCAATTTTCCTCAGCAAAAAGAGGAGGATTGGCAACGGATGTTAGCTCAGGGCTGATCTTTTTTTTTTTTTTTATAATTTTATTTATTTATTTCTTTTTCCCCAAAGCCCCAGTAGATAGTTGTATGTCGTAGTTGCACATCCTTCTAGTTGCTGTATGTGGGACGTGGCCTCAGCATGGCCGGAGAAGCAGTGCGTCGGTGCGTGCCCGGGATCCAAACCCGGGCCACCAGCAGCGGAGCACATGCACTTAACCGCTAAGCCACGGGCTGGCCCAGGGCTAATCTTCCTCACCAAAAAAAAAAAAAAAAAAAAAAAAAAACCACAAAAGAGGAAGATTGGCAACAGATGTTATCTCAGGGTGAATCTTCCTCAGAAAAAAAAAAAAAAGCATAATCTGTATAAAAGTCCATCTTTAAAAAGCACTGTGCATGGGCCGGCCCGGTGGCACAGGTGGTTAAGTGCACGAGCTCCGTTGCTGCTGCCTGGAGTTCACCAGTTCGGATCCTGGGCGTGCACTGACGCACCGCTTGGAAGCCATGCTGTGGCGGCGTCCCATATAAAGTAGAGGAAGACGGGCATGGATGTCAGCCCAGGGCCAGTCTTCCTCAGCAAAAAGAGGAGGATTGGCAGATGTAGGTCAGGGCCGATCTTCCTCACAAAAAAAAAAATAAATAAATTAGTAAATAAATAAATAACTTAAAAAATAAAATAAAAAGCACTGTTCAACTATGAGTTGTTATGTGTTATTATAATGAAATAATAATTAAAAGATATAACTGAGTAATATAAAACTCCACCTGATCATGAGGGATCTTGAATGCTAGGTTGAAGAATTCATCATCAATGGTGGAAGCATAATTTGGAAAAAGTTCGTTGGGCAGCAGAGAAAGTAGCGAGGGATAGAAGGAAGAGACATATACAGGTAGAGGAACACATTTTAGTTGTCGCAGGGATTTCTGTGGATACTTTTGTTTTTTAGGATACAAAATTTTTATTTAAGTGTTTGATATACTAACTTTGACTTAAAGTTCTGATCAACTGATCTGGAAAGAAGAAAACCACTCATTGAGTAGTTCTTAATATTTGTTTACAAAATTTAAACATATATCTTAAAGAATCAATAAATCTTAGGCCTGGAAGAATTCTGAATTCACAATATAATGTGACCATCTATTTCATAGTTTGAATTTCCTCTACAATAATAGCAGCTCAGATAATTATAATAATGATAAATACAATAAAAAATAGTGAATACTGCTATATATTAGTACTGCTATCGTACTTTTAATGAGCACTGACTGCAAACCGGGACTCTATTCTGTGAGTACTTTTAACACAAAAGACAGAAAAAATAGCTTAACATGTCTCTGCTTAGTAAAGGGCAGACTGCCCACGGGTTCCTCAGGCTCAGGAGGGCCCTCGCTCTGCTAGTCATCCCTCTGGGTTGGGGGTGGGGATTGGTGGGAAGGGACACAAGGGAAAGAAATTTCTGAGGTAGTGGTGGTGGTCTGTATCCTGATATGGGTTTACATTGCACAGGTGAATGCATTTATCAAAATTCATCTAGTGATCCACTTAAGATTTGTGCATTTCATCAATATCTAAATTTTACCTTAAAAGAGAACCATAAACAAGTATTGAACTCTAGTTAATAACGTGCAGACTGAAGTATTTAAGGGGAGATTGTACTGATGTCTACAACCTGCTTTAAAATGCATCAGAAAGGAAGATGGATTGATGCGTGGAGAAGAGATGGATAGATGGTTTGGATGGATGGATATGTGACAAAGTGAATGTAGCTAAATGTTAATAGAAGAATCTGGGTGGAGGATATCTGCATGTTCACTGTACAGTTCTTTCAACTTTGCTGTGTGTTTGAAAATTTTCATAATATAAGAAGACAGGAGAGCGATTCAAAGGCTGCGTTTCCAAGCAGGCATAGTGAGACATAGAGTAGAAGTCTCATCCAGCTGGCTGTTCACGAGCCTGAATGTTCCTCTGCACTGTACCAGAGTCTGAGGCCTCTGCGGTCATACGCCTTAGCAGTTCTGCTTACCAGGAATCACTTGACTCCTAGTGTTGTCTAAACACAATCAGACTGAGCAGAAGCCACGCCAAAATTATGGCTCTTGTGTTTGTAAAGGCCTTGCCCATATTTTCAAAATAAGTGAAGAAAAAAATGTCTGCAAATGCCTCGCGCTGGCCACCACTTTTGCGGCAGATTTTGAGATGGGAACTGGACCTGGCTTGCGTTAGAGATGGACCGGTTCTGTGTTTCCCAAGCTGGGAGGTGGCTGTGGAGCTGGAGAGGCAAGTTGGCTTGTTCCAGGAGTTGGTAAAAGGGCCAGACCAGTCTGTGGAGAAGTGGCTGGTCATTTTCTCCCGGAGTGTGAGTCTGTGCTGCATCCCGTGTTTCCTGTGGAAGCACTAACAGGCTGGGCTTGCCTAGGGCACTCTGGGGCCCCAGGGAGGAGGGTGCTCATTCGGCCAGGTTGGCATCTGCCCGTGGGCATGCGTCCCTTCACCATCTCTGCCCCTGCTCGTGTTTCCCCTCCAGGTGACCGTGTTGCCATCGAGCCTGGTGCTCCCCGAGAAATCGATGAATTCTGCAAGATTGGCCGGTACAATCTGTCGCCGTCCATCTTCTTCTGTGCCACGCCCCCCGATGACGGGAACCTCTGCCGGTTCTATAAGCACAACGCCAGCTTCTGCTACAAGTTAGTGCCCACGGCTCCGCCATGTCACCTAGGAACTCTCCCCATCCGTTTGTTTGGTGTTCTTCTAGTTTCCTGTGGTGATTTCTTTGTTCTTTTCAGCTCATAATTCCAGACATGAGGCATCCCCTGGACAAGCCTGCCCTTCTTGGTGGCATTGAGCCACCTGACTCAGTAGCCTGACCAGGGCTAAGACTGACTCCCAGGGCTTGGTTTTAGTCTTTCAGTCTACCGTTCCCTCATCTAGAGCAACAATAGAGAATTGTTGCTGAAATCACTCCCTCCTCTCCAGCCATCCTGGAGACAACTTGTTGTGGTCTGTCCTCCATTATTGGTCTCCACTGCAGCTACAGGAAAGAGCTTATAACAGCAGTGACCTTGACGACCACAACCACAAACAATAACAGCAACCATTGGGGTTTACTGAGGAGGCATGGCTTGGAGCCAGGGCATGAGCTCTGGGACCCTGGATCCACTCCCTCCCAGCGAATGACTTTGGGGAAATGACTTAGCCTTCCTCTACTTCAGTCTCACTTAATCACCTGAAGGTTAAATAAGGCATTGCATGTAAAGTCACAATTATCATTACTGCGTGCCTGGCCTTGTGCTGTTAAGTGCTCTGCATGCTTTATCGTAGTTAACCTCCGTAAGAATAATGGTGAGGTGGGCACCAGTACTGAGTTTTGTGCAAGGGTCAGCAGAGGCAGGAGGAGGCTGACTGACTCAGGCACGGAGCAGGGCTAGGAGTCAAGCCTGGGCAGCTGTGATACTCAAGCTCCTGTTCTGTGCTGTCTACCTACCCTAGCTCTCAGAGTGGTTTATGTCTGGCAGAAGCAAGATGCTGCACCTTCTGTGTGGGCCCCGGCCCATGGGGCCCTGGGGATCTGATATACCACTTTCCTTCTGACCTGACCAGGCACGTTTTCCTCCCACCCCAGCCCGGCTCCAGCGGTGGCTCTGTAGGCAAAGATGGGACTTGTCCGTTGGAGGCCAGGTGCCGGTCACAGGGGCAGTTTGACCGATCTGAGTTTTCTAGTGCCCACTGGAAGCCTTGAGAAGAGTCACAGGCCAGAGACCGAGTGATGAGTTTAAGTCAACACCTGAACCTGCTCTAGAAGAAAGCAGGTGATGTGGGCAGAGTCCACCTTTCAGCAAGTGGTTCCTGAACCAGCCCATCTTTTCTGGGCCCTTTCCAAGTCAGGGCGCCAAACAAGATTTTCGTGGAATGTAGAGGAGCAAAGCTGTAAAGCTCAAGCCTAACCACTGGTCTCTGCCGGTCACCAACTTGTGACCTTGAGCAAGTTACTTGAACTTTGTAATCTCAAATCCTTGCCTGTAAAATGGAGATGATAATAGCACCAATAGGATGAAATGCATAGAATTATTGATGGGATTCAATGAGAAAGGCCTATCAAGTACTCAGCATGAGGCCTGGCTTATAGTAGGTGCTCAATAAACAGTGCCATGCTATGTTGTAGCCATGGCTTTGTGTCTGGGGGATGGTACAGGGTTAGGCCTGAAAGAGAGCCTTGCACTGGGATAGAGGGTGGTTTGTAGGGAATGGTGGGGGAGGGGGTGTTCTGGTTGACAATGGCGATGGGAGGGTTGAGGAGGGCCTCTAGGGGCCATGCAGCTCCCACCTCTCCTCTCCTCCCAGGCTACTTTCTGCCTGTGTCCCCAGCCCAACCCTGGACCTAAGCCCTCCTCTCTGGTTTCTCTTTATGAGATTCCTACACTGCCACAGCCTCTTTATTTTCCTACCCACCTTATTTTCTTTCTATCTTCCTGCTTCCCCCTTGGCTTCTTTATCATGCTTTTGCCTGTTCCCTGAACCCTATTGTGAAAACCACCAAATTGCCTTGTCATTCTCTGGTGTTTATAAAGTCATGAAAGATTAGGGTTGGTAAGAAACTTAGAGTCCTCTTATCCTCCTTCCCCCTCCACCCCCACTGAACAAGGTTGGGGAAGAAGGACCAGTAACCGTCCCAAGGTCAGTGGTGAAGGGGCCAGGCCCTATGACTCTGCCCTGTGCTGGCGCTCCTGCCTCCATGCGGCTGGGTGCGGCTGCATATGTGACAAGGCAGCCTCTGCCTAGTCAGAATAATCTCCCAGATAACAATCCTCTCTCATCACCGTCCTCAATCCCATTTCTCCTTGGTGTTCTTATTCCAAGGGGAAGTCAGAGCAAAGGTGAGAGGAGCACACAGTTCCTGACCAAAGGCCACCCTCAGCTTAGAGCCCATATAAGCTTGAGGGGAGGCCCAAATGTGAAGGTGCAGGTGTGTCTGAGAGAGTGTGGTTGGGGGTCCTTGAGAGAGTGTGGGAGTCTTCATTATTTCATTTCAAACTTTTCCCCTTATATAGCATTGACGGGGTAGGTTGGGTGAGTGGAAGGGGTGATGACAGCAGTCAGAGCAGGAGAAAGGACTGGGGTGGGGGAATGATGTGGGAGAAGCAGAATAGAAAAGAGAAGGAAAGGGTGGTGGGCAGCAGCCAGGCCGACTGTAGGCCTTGTTATTTATTCTTGGGACGATTGTGAGCAGTGACAGCAGGATCATGGAGATGAGCATGTGGTTTAGCTGCTACGGTTATTTCTTTTTGGAACTTCAGGGTTTTCATGTTCTTGCCCGTGGAGGTTTGGGGGGCACTGAATAAATACTGGACAGTGAGGAACTAGCAGAAATTAGATATTAACTCCAGAGCTGCTTGTACCAAGAGGCAGCTGATATGGGACAGGCAGACGATGTGGAATGAGGAGACCTGGGTTCAAGTGTGGCTTGTCCACTCACTAGCCTTGTAACCTTGGGCAAATCTCTTAATGTCATCGAGCTTCAGTTTCCTCTTCTGTAGAATAAAGGTAAAAATAAGCCTGCCCTTCCTGCCTGACAAGGTCATGATAAGGCTTAAATGAGATTATGGGTGAGAAAGCTCTCTAACCTGTAAAGCCTTATGCAAATGTTTGCTGTCATTGTCAGTGGGATTGTTAATAGGGTCAAGATGCCAGTAGACTTGGAAGTGAAAGCCAAGAACCCAGTGGTGAAGGTGACACAGCATTTAGTCAGCTGTGTGGAAGACAGGCCCTTTTCCCATCCTAACCAGTCCTGGGACAGCCAGGCAGCTGCTGCCTTCAGAGGTGGTGCTTCTGGAGCATGTAATACAGGAGACAATGAACACAGTGATGCCAGCTTCTAAATCACTGTTTTGCAAAGCTGCTGGTAGTCAGGATTGTTTGCTAAAGTGAAACCAGAAAGGCTATAAGTTTGAGAAGGAGATATGGTGCTGGAATGTAGTTATGTTAACCCCTTGTTAAATGAACTTTTCATTTTTTAGTGACCACCACGCCCTACCTTATCTTGGATAGCAGTTAAAGAAAACATAATGTATTCACATTCACTGAAGTGATTTCACCAAAGAAAACCATTTTCAGAGGGGGTCATGTGACATAGGCTCTAGAGTCAGAATATCTGCCTTTCAAATGAAACCCTTTGAGCCCCTCACTGGCTTTGAACCATTGGAGCAAGTCATTTAATCCTCCAAGCTTCGATTTCCTCCTCTGTAAAATGGGAATAATAGTACTTACCATAGAACTGTTCCAAGGGTTTACATGAGTGAATATATGTAAATTGCTTAGCACGTTGCCTGGCGCATATGTAAATGCTCAATAAATATTAGCTATTGTTATTATTGTTAACCCAGAAGGACTAACTGAGTGTGTTGAATGATTCCTCAGGCTTCCTGACAATGTCACCTTTGAGGAAGGGGCCCTGATTGAGCCACTGTCTGTGGGAATCCATGCCTGCCGGCGAGCTGGAGTCACCCTGGGGAACAAAGTCTTTGTGTGTGGAGCTGGTAAGAAGCAGACTACACCCTGGTTAAGAGCTCATTAAAGGGGAATGTAGGGACCCCTCTGCCCATCTCACTCCCCCTCCAGGGGCTGAAATTGGTCCTAGAATCTTTCTGGATAGGGGAGAATTACAGTGTCCTATTCCCTCAGTGACCAGCATTTTGGTAAATAAACTAATATCTGCAGACATGATAGTAATGTTATTTCCTAGGCAACGTAACCCTTCTGTTCATTTAAAGAATGCATTTGGGATTATGTTTCAACCCTTGCCAGGAAACTAGGGAAATATTTTTGGTAGCAAAGGGAAGGGCAACTTTTGGAACTTTCAGATCATACCAGAGAAGTGGTCTCCTGGTCCATCCAGGAATGAGATGGGCCCTGCTCATGGCCAGTGGAAGGAGTGGAGTCCAGCCCGCCCTGAGTCAGCACTCTGCCCGCATTGGGGTTGCAGCTAGCTGCCTTCTCTCCTCGCCTGCTTCCAGCCACCCAAACAAACCCTAGCAGCCTCAGACTGAATCATTCTAGGCTTCTAATTGCTGGTGACCAGACAGCATGCTCACACTCCTTGTGGGTGTGATGTGGTGTTCCTCATATACTTTTTTTTAATTGAGGTATAATTGACTTATAACATTATATTAGTTTCAGGTGTACAACATGATGATTCATTTGTATAAATTGCGAAGTGATCACCGCAATAAGTCTAGTTATGGTTACACAATTTTTTTCCTTGTGGTGAGAACTTTTAAGATCTACTCTCTTAGCAACTTTCAAATATGCAATACAGTATTTTTTTTTTCTTTTTTTTTTGGTGAGGAAGATCAGCCCTGAGCTAACATCCATGCTAATCCTCCCCTTTTTGCTGAGGAAGACCGGCTCTGAGCTAACATCTATTGCCAATCCTCCTCTTTTTTTTCCCCCCATAGCCCCAGTAGATAGTTGTATGTCATAGTTGCACACCCTTCTAGTTGCTGTATGTGGGACGCGGCCTCAGCATGGCTGGAGAAGTGGTGCGTCGGTGCGCGCCTGGGGTCCGAACCCGGGCCACCAGCAGCTGAGCGCGCGCACTCAACTGCTAAGCCACGGGGCTGGCCCCTACCTACGCTTTCTTAAAAAAAAAAATCAGTATATTGCAAACAGTTTTCCATGTCAATAGATAAAAGAGTTATGACATAATTTTAATAGCTATGTAGTATCCCACTGTAGTTTATTTAACTAATCACCCCTTTGTTGCCAATTTCAGGTATTTTCCAGTGTTTTACTTCCTGGGGGAACTCACAGAATTATTTTCGGGGAGTGACCAAAAAGCAAATCCCCCAAGATATTCTGCGTAGCCTCATTTTCTAGGTCCGGTTTTTGTGTTAAAACCATCGTGTCATCTAGCATGCAGACACTCTGGGGAAACAGGTGGTCTCCAGGCTGATTCTTAGGCACCTGAACATTGTGGAGCTGCCTGAGAGGCTGGGTCAACCCAGGGAGCCAGCTCACTTAAGGACACCCTCCAGGGTGGTCCTCAGAGGGTACCTAAAAAGGATATGTCTCTCTCAGGGGAGGTGTGGTGAGTTCTAAGAAGGTAGGATCTAAGAGAGAACAGGAAAATATATTCAGACTTTCTGAGACTTCTTATTCTCTGAACAAATAAATGTTTCCTTGAGCCCTCTGGTTCTTTGACGTTATCACCAAGCAGTGCCTAAGAGTAAGTGGAAAATTTCTGGCTCTGAGGTATGAGAGAATCAAATAGAACCCAGCACTAGGAGCAGATTTCATGCAGAGGACAATTCCTCATGGCTTCAACAAACAGTTGTTAAGGTCTCACTCTGTGTCAGGCACTGGGATAGATGCTAGAGGTACACAAAAGTTATAGTTTCTGTCCATGGCCTGGACAAGGGGGAGAGTTGATGTTTAATATTTCACAAATATCCCCCATTTCCTGCTTTATTTAGGGCCAATAGGACTGGTCAGTTTGCTCGTGGCCAAGGCAATGGGTGCAGCTCAAGTGGTGGTGACTGGTAAGGGGTTTTTTCTTTTTAAATCTCCTTGAGGGGGAAACCGCTGGACCTACAGTTTGGGGCAGGGGCATGAGACCTATTCCCTTCCTGGGGTACTATGTTTCTTTTTTTTTTTTTGTGAAGAGATCAGCCTTGTGCTAACATCTGCCAATCCTCCTCCTTTTTTTGCTGAGGAAGACTGGCCCTGGGCTAACATCCATGCCCATCTTCCTCTACTTTATATGGGACGCTGCCACAGCGTGGCTTGCCAAGCAGTGCATCGGTGCGCACCTGGGATCCGAACCGGCGAACCCCAGGCTGCCGCAGCAGAGCGCGCGCACTTAACCGCTTGCGCCACCGGGCCGGCCCGTGGCGTACTATGTTCCTAAAGCGTCTCCTCCTCTTTTCTCCTGGGTTCCAGGGTTGAAAAGCCCACCCAGGAATGACCAAGTCAGGCCTCAGGAGGAGACTCTTCTGTGAAGCTGCTGAGAGAGAGTGGCTGCTGTGGAAAAGAGGACCTGGCTCTTTATATGTGGACCTTAGGCGCTAGTGCACATACTGCCCACTTGGTCCTAAGAGGTGGCTCAGTCCTTGGTCTATTGACCAAGCCCAGGAGGCAAAGAGGGTGTGTTTGTGTGTTTGTGATGTGGAGTTAGTGGGATGTGAGATATGTGTGGTATGGGTGAGAGACATGAGTGTGTATGTTTGAGGGGAGGTTATCTGTGATGGCCTGTGTGGGTATGTGTGTGTGGAGCTGTGTGGTGTGTATGGAAGCATGTGGGGTGTAGAAGGCTATGTGTGTATGTGGAGAAGGCATCGGTATGAGAGTGTGTGTGTGTGTATAAGGTATCTGAGTGTGTGCGTATGTGTGAGGAGTGGTTATCTGTGAGATTATGTATGGGGGTCAGTGTGTAGAGTTGTGTGGTGTGTGGGGTGTGTATGGATGTATGAGGGGTGGGGATGTACAAGGGGGTGTGTGTGTGTGTTTTGTGTGAGGAGAAGGTATCTGAGAGATTGTGTGTGTGTGTAGCTCTGTAGAGCTGTGTGGTGTGATTGGGCTGTGTGGAGATGTGGAAGGGTGTGGATGTTTGAGGAGAAGTTATCTGAGAGAGAGAGTGATTGTAAGAGAGAGAGACAGTGTATGTGGTGTGAATGGGAATGTGTGAAGGTATAGAGAGTACGTGTGTTAGGCTCAGCGAGACCACCCACTACACAAGAGCTTCATTGCCATCAGAACACGCACCTCCATTTTTATTTTTTCCCTGAGCAGCCATCCAGTTTCTCAGTTTGAAAGAAACTTCTGTTCAACTTTAGATCTGTCTGCCTCTCGGTTGTCTAAAGCTAAAGAAGTCGGGGCTGATTTCATCCTCCAGATCTCCAAGGAGAGTCCTCAGGAAATCGCCAGTAAAGTGGAAGGTCTACTGGGGTGCAAGCCAGAAGTCACCGTCGAGTGCACAGGGGCGGAGACCGCCATCCAGGCGGGCATCTACGTGAGTGGGATGAGGGTAGCTGAAGCTGGTGGGAAGCTTCTAGGCGTCAGTGCAGGGGAGGATCAAGCTTCTCCACTGACTGCTATATGACCCCTAAGCAAATTAGGTAATCTCTTGGTGTCTCTGTTTTCTTATCTCTCTTTTGGAGATAGTGACACTTGCTTAACATCCTCATTGAGTCAGTGTGAGGTTTAAACAAAGTAAGAGATACACTTGGTCCTTGAAAGATGTTAAGTGACCCACACCTTAGGATGGCGTTGGTGGCATGGTCATATTTTAAAAGAATGCTTTTGGTACAAGGATCAACAGGAGGAACAGGAAATGATGCCTTAGCTGGGGGTGGGAAATCCCTACCTTGTTTTATTGAGGAAAACTGCAGTCTGTGTCATTGATACAAAATGCCAGACGTTAAGTTAGTCACAGAGGTGAGGTGATTTTTCAGGGTCAGAGTTGGCTCCCACTGTCTTCTCCCAGAACTAGGAACAGATAAGCTGCCAATACCTGATTCGCCCCTCAGCGACCCACCAGTAATTGATAGGAAGTTGGCGGGGTGGCAGGTGTGGCATTGACAGATCAAAGGATGAGGAAAAGAGAGGAGAAAGAATACCTTCTAGGTTCTGAGCCCTACCTTGTGCTGGGTCTTCTACTAGGTGCTTTATAAACGTGATGCCTAATCTGCACAATAGCCCTGAAAATTAGTTCTCATTGTCCACATTTTACCGTGAGAGGCCTGGTGACTTGCCTTGAGCACACGGCTCCAACGCCTGAGCGTACCCTGCTCTGGCCGCTGCTTAGGAGAGGAAGTGCAGGAGTTGACAAGGAGCCAGTGGGCACCCAGACTAAGGTGGGAAGGGCTGGGCTGGGGAGAGCCGTGGCAGCTGCCACCACTGGGCACTCCTGCCATGCCTCCCAGACTGCTTCCTGCAGTAGCACGGGCTTCCTCCTTCCTTCTGAGTCATAGCTTGGTCACCCACAAGGGCACTTTGCACCGTGCAAGACATTCTGGGGAAACCTAACCCCTTGAGCTTAGAGGTACAGCCCTAAGGCCTGGCACCCTGGCAAAGCTGCCTAGCCCTCCTCCTACCAAGACGCCCATGGCAGCGGAGGCCAAGGAAGCAATGGGAGGATGAGGAGCAGCTGGCACCTTCGGCCTGTCCTGAGTTCCAGCTGGAGTCAGCTTGCCCTCTGCTCTATTGTCAGAGACAGTGGTAGCCGTGTGGGAAGGGGCAAAGAGAAATAAAAACCTCAGAGGGCAACGGATCTGCATGTGATCAGTCGACCCAGGGCATGTCTTGGCTACCTGCTGTGTGCCTGGCTTTGTGCCGGACACCTTGAGGGCTATGACAGCAAGTGAGATGTGTCTACTGTCTTCAAGTTGTTGGCAGGTCAATGTCCCCCGTTCCACAGAGAGGCAGTAAAAGACATGGGTTCACAATGCAAGGCTTTCCTTCCTCTTGTGCCCTGCCGGGAGAGCATCTGAGAACAGTTGGCATCTCCAGCTGTTGATGGTGAGGCCCAGTTGCCAGTGTACCTGAGGTGGACATGGAGGTAAATGTGACCCAAGGGCCTCACCAGGCCTGAAGCCAGTGCTTCTCATGAGTGGGCAGTAGAGCCATCATGTACGACAGGTGCTGCAGAATGCTGCAGGCCACCCCACCAACAGGCAGGTTAGGCAGAGGCGTACCTGAGAGTCACTTTCCTGCCAAGTCATGACTAGATAATGTTCATGAGGAGATGTAGCAAATGCTTAGTGTAGAATTGATGTCACCTTCTTGGTGCAGAGGTCACACCCACAGAACAATTGTCAGGTAGATCAAGCATTCCTTTGCCGGTGGTCAGTAAGCTACTGGCCTGCTGGCAGCTTGGGATGGCCAGTTTGGTGGTGTTCCTCCACCTCCTCACCAAGAGGAGAGGAAATGCTGATGGGGAAAGAGGTTTCCTGGAAAAGTTCTCAGCCAAGAGTATCCTGTGGCTCACTCACAGCTTTGATCCCTCTCCCCCATTTTTCCAGTGGGGACAGTTGTGAGATACCCTCCCCCTTACTGACAGTGGTTACATGTCACAGGTGGTTTGTAAGTGACTCCACACTTCAATAAAAACAGAAAACGCGCCAATCCTTGAGTCCATCCCAGTGCTGAGCGCTGTGATTGTTACCCCAACAGCCCTGCTGGGGAGGCATTGGCCTGTTCTTACACGTGAGGAACCTGGCTGAGGACACTGTCCAGGGTCCCATAGCTCGTGAGTGCAAAGGCCAGGAGTCACCCCCACACTGCAGGCCTCTCTCCATGGTGTATCCTTCCCCTCAGAGACAGGGGCTGTGATGTGTGCCTTTTGTAGCCCCACTGTTTAGCACTTAGAATGGTCCCAAGAAGGGCTTTGCTGCTGACTATAATGAAAACTTAGCATGAGTGAATTGTCCATTTTTCCTTCTCTCGTAACATTGAGCACAGTGGTCCCCAAAAATCTCTGGGGCAGGCACAACGCTCATGTGGAGTTATGTGGAGACTGTCAGGAGAAATTTCACTCTCTGGCCCACTCCAAGGAGGGAATGGCAGAAGGATGTTCAGGGAAGACAAAATCCATTATGACTGATACTATTGGGATGAATGTCTCAAATGCCAGCCTACATGTTTAAGGCAATTTTTAAACCACAGAATTCCAATAGCCCTCTCCATTTGTATAGTTTTCTCACCAAAAGGGTGGTTCCTTAGAGAGTTGACAAAAGTTCTGTCTTGTGGGGTGGGCACTCTGGAGGAAGAACAGGTGCTGAGATGAGGCAGTGGCTGACGCCGACATCTGGTACTGAATTAGTAAAGCTCTGAAAGATGCTCAGGGGCTGTTGCAGACTGGCCTTGTGAGTAGAGGAGATTCTCACCGGGGTCTGGAGAACCTCGGCCATTTCCTGGGATGTTGTGGACAGTGAAAGATGCTCCCACTGTGCCTGGTCCTCCACTGGTAAAGTGTATTATTTCAGGATCTTTAAAGAACATAATTTTACTCTTCTGCTCTGTTGAGTTTGGTTGACATGTTGAAGAGTTCAACAGTATGGAAAGAATCATGTTCTCTGGAATTTTTGGATACTCACTTGATGCAATCAGAAGACATTTGGGTGATGGCAGTGTTATTGGGAGTGGGAAGTCTGCGTTTCTCATCTTCTGGGTTTTCTTGTTCTTACCTCCTCCTCAGGCCACTTGTTCTGGTGGGACCCTGGTGCTTGTGGGGCTGGGCTCTGAGATGACCACTGTGCCCCTAGTGCATGCGGCCACCAGGGAGGTGGATATCAAGGGTGTGTTTCGATACTGCAACACGTGAGTATATTGTGGGTAAGCCACGGTGGCCAGCGGCCAGCAAGACCAGGGCAGGCCCCACATAGCCTCTGGGACCAAGAGTCTCTGCCTATTTATTCATGCGGGGCACTCCTTCGACACGCTGACAGCTATGCGATGTGTATGATAGGGATCCAAAGAGAGAACATTCACTCCTGGTTAAAGAATGGGACGGCAGAGATGGCAGAGGGAAGGACAGAGGGATAGAGGGAGGGAGGAAAGGATAGAGGGAGGGAGGGGGATTTTGAAGCATGCTCTTCTTGGGTATCTGCCACTCATCGCCCAGGCCCTCTCTTTTCCATTTCTTTAAGTGGCCAGATCTCCATTTTCCCCCTTTAAAGGGAAAGAGAGAAGGGAGGACAACAGCAAGAACTCAAGTCCCTTAGTTTCCACTCTAGAGCCCCAGGGTGCACCCTGGGAAGTGAGAGGGTGTTAATTCACCCCACCCCATGTTCTGTGGCTCCACCTTCTCCGCTGCTGGGAAACTCTGTCCAGGACCCCCTTCCCTACCAGTGTCCCTTACTCTCCTATCTTTAGAGTCTGTAACCATTCCCTCAGTGGAGTGCTGGTTTTCCAGTAAACTCCGCCAAGCCTAGCTGCTAAGAGGTGTGATTGGATTGTTCCGGGCTGCCTCCCTGAGGCTTATCTGCCCTTTCACAGTGGCCTCCATATGCCCTATGCCTTTATACCAAAGGAATTCTAGGCTTCATGATAGACATTGCAGAGGCGTGGGGGGTGTTTGGGAACAGGCTCTGTACTCCCAAATCACAAGTCATAAGATCATTTCCACTGTTGTTTTTCTGTAGAATTGATCTTGCAGAACCATAGTGCTATAAATAAATGTGGCCGAGATGATCTTGTGCTTGGTGCTTTTGGGGACCTGGCTCTTACCTCCTGAAGGTTGAATGTAATGCCTGTGATCTTTTACAGGTGGCCGATGGCGATTTCAATGCTTGCATCCAAGTCTGTGAATGTAAAGCCCTTAGTCACCCATAGGTTTCCTCTGGAGAAAGCTCTGGAGGCCTTTGAAACATCCCGAAAGGGATTGGGGTTGAAAGTCATGCTTAAGTGCGACCCCGACGACCAGAATCCCTAATGTTAATTGGGCTCTGCCCTCATCCCCACCCTCTCAGCATCTTGGGGCTGAATGGCTGGCAGGGGTGGGCTTTGATGCACAAGTTTCTTTTGAATAGTAAGAATAACTAAAAGAATTCATTATAAGCAGAGAGCCTTACCCAGAGGAGTTGGTGTGCCTTAAAAACAGCGATAGATTTGGGGAACTTGTAGCCAGAATGACCTGTTCATGCTGAGCAAAGTTCAGCAAATGGAGCAGAGCTTGGCAGGCAGTTGCTGGGAACTCCCCTTCTTCCTGGAGTGCTTGAGTCGAGCAGGGAAAGAAATCTGTCCAATGGGTTCCTGGTTCCACCATGACTGTGGCCAGATGGGAGATGGGGTGCGCGTTATGAAGAGACAACTTGATCAAGACTTAACTGGCGCAGAAGCTGATTTTCAGGAAAATCTGCAGCTGAGGGTCTGGAATGAGGGATTGTCAGCAGTTTTAGTTTAAAGCAGTGTTTCTAGACATAAATGTTATTTGGTTTGATGACAAAAGGAGAATAAGAGACTGACTTTCCCTGGTCTAGGATAATTTTAAAACCAATCAAACAAAACTGAAATCCCATGTGAGGGATTCAGTTGCATTCCCCAAATATAGAAATAGTCAGGGAACTTCTCAGCGCTGCTTGAAGACTGCCTCTTCCACTCCTGAGAATTCTGTGTCACCTTGCAAGGTAAAGAACTGCCTTCCCAACTCTCCCCACCCCCACCCTTCTGCAGGTTCAGGGGCAGCCACTGCAGGCTCCTTGGGCACTAGGTAGCCAGGAGGCACCTACCTAAGTGCAGTCATGGGGAGTCTCATGGGAGACCTTAAATTGTTCCTCTGACTAGCCCAAGAGGGTTTGGTCAGTGCCCCTGTCTTCCCCACCCCACAGGATTAGCATCTCCTCCTAGGCTCAAACTCACTGATGATTATTAGACAATTCCATTTAATTATAAACAGAAAACCTTTCCCTTTCTCACAGCCAGTTAAAGCTCTTGGTATCTTTCTGTCTATTTGAATGATATCTCCAAACTTGTCTTATTTTAATTGTGGGGTTTTCCTGTGTAAGATTTGGATCCAAATCACATTATGCCTATCTGTGACTTTGAGATTGTTAATCAAGAATGAGAATGTAGTAGCTGTGATATAACTTGGGCTGCAGCCTTTAATCCCTCACTTCAGGTCGGGGTGGAGGGTGAGTTGTGATTCGGGAAGGCCGTGACCAGCGCCTAGAATTCCTCCAGCTGCTTTGGGTAATAAATTCTGCTTGTAGTGTCTGACTGCTGCTGCGATTTGTGCCTATTTGGGCAGGAATGGACTTAGGTTAATCATTTCACAAAAGGAGGATCCAGGATTTTTGAAAGTGACACATTCTCTGCATCAAATATAATTTCATTGACTGTTGGAAATTTACATGAATGATTTCTAGTCCTCTCAACAAGCCAAATACATACGATTGTTTTACAGCTGAGGAAATAAAGAAATCAAGAATAACTTGCTCAAGGTCACACACTGCTTTTCTTGTCTCATGTTATCTCTGGAGGAGGATGGGATCCACACACAACACATGCACACACTCAGCAGCCACACAGCCGACTTGGACTGTGTGGCTCAGAGCCCAATGGAGCTCTGCTCCATTTCCTCCTCTGAGTCCTGTTTAGCTCTAGGGACAGACTTGCCAGCTGCCTTCTCTCGAAACTTGCCTTCCAGCTCATTGGTGCCCAAAGTTCCTTGAATGTGGAATGAGAAAGCCTTCCCTTTCTGGATGGAAAGCTTCTACCAGAAATGCCCCTGAGGGAGGTGGATTCACTACTTTAAATTCACGAGCAGTGGCTTTTCCTCTGATTGTGGTTTGATGGAGGGAGGAGGCCACTGAACCTGAGAGGGACTTAGGAGCTGCAGAGGGAACTCTGGAAAGGGAGGGCAACCAAAAACAAAGACGGGTCACTTATATCACAATTGTGATTGGGTTGGGTCTTTTAAGTCAATGTCTTGGAGCCTCTGTTTCCTGGTCTATTAAATGGGCTTCATGATGCCCACCATGTGGGCAATTATGGAGAGTGAATGGGCTGATAGAACATAGCAGTTGAGGGAATACTTCCCATTTCCAAATCCCCCTACAGCTCTCAAGCTACAGTGATGTTTCACAGCTTCCCAAATAGCGGCAGAAAGGGTGGCGGAGGAGAGGAGGTGGTGTGGGTGGGCCACCAAGTGCTGGCTGCTCTGAGTCCTCCGGGTGGTGAGAGGCCCCGAGTCAGTATCACTGAGCTGGCGCTGGGGCTCCCTTGCCTCCGCATCCTTATTGAAATGTTTCCCCCGCTATTTGGAAGGGGCTGCAGGAAGCCCAGGAATTCATTGCTCCTGCCACCTCCACTAAGCACTCAATAAATATTGATTGACTCAGTGAATCAGTCCCGGAACCAAGAATATGAATTCCCCACGAGCTCCCCAACCTTGGGTGGCCCTGCTGGCCTCTGTGTGCTCTGTCACCGGTGCCCGGCACCTGGCTCGCTTTCAGTCAACACGGAGGACCCCACCCAGCCGGCACTCCCAGCACTGGGGTGGGGTGTAAGGGTGGAGAGCTGGGCAGAGGACCCTGCAGGCAGACCACAGGGTGGAAGGGGGAGGCTGCCCCACGGACCCCAAAGGAGAAAGGGGACACAGCTCCAGCACCTCCCTCTTGCCGTCCACCTTTGGCTACAGTGGAAGCTGATGTGAAGTCACTTCTGGCCTCCCAAGCCCTGGTTCTCAGGCCACCCGTCTCACGTCTATGTAGCACAGTCCTGCCTTCCTAGCTCCTATTTTGCTCCCTTTGGGACAGAAAGGGGGCCTGTGGGGAATTTGTTTGGGCCAGAGGTTAGGAGCTGGGGAGGTAGGATTCATTGGTTTCCCAGAACTGTCCTCTGCACATGATCTCAGCCTAGACTTGGAGGACAGAAGCCAAATGAGAGGGCCTACATCCCTGGGTGGCAGGCGAGTCTCCACCATCCCCGTCCCTCTCTGCACACCGAGGTCCTCGAGGGCTTAGGGAGGAGCAGGATGGAGAAGGGGCAGCAATGAAGCGGCTTGGCTAGGAGCTTACCACCCGCAGGAAGTGCCTTCAGGACAGAGCAAGTGTTCTCTGGCGCAGAGGCTGCCGTGTTGAAGCCATGTGGCAGTGCTCCTACGGCACCCACCCCTCACGCACGACTTCCCTCTCCTCTTAGAGCCCTGGCTGAGTCAGACCCTGAGCTCCTTCCCTGGGCACCTGGAAGTGGCACAGGATGTGTGGATGGTGTTCCTGCTGAGATTGCTCAGGGCTCTTAGCTTCAGTGGGAGCTTCTTGAGGGTGATGGGCAGGGGAGAAGCCTCTGTCCTCTGGGTCTTGGACCCATCAGGCCTATGAGAGGCAGCATGTTGTAAAGGGTTTGATGCCAGGAGTCCTGGGTTCTCTCTAATCCTGGGCCCACCACTAACTCAATGTGTGATTTGCCAAGTCACTTCCCTGATCTGAGCCTTGGTTTCCTCCCTTGTTAATGGAAGGGTTGGACTAGACAATCTTAAGGTCTTTTCCAGCACTGATATCATACAGGGTTCCCATCACCCCAAGGCCCTGGGGAGTGAGGACCCCTTTGGGGTGTCCCTCAGGCTTGAGGTGTGAGGGGCCTTCTTGGGTTTCAGTTCCAGTCCTGCGTGTGTGTGTGTGTGTGTGTGTGTGTGTGTGAAGGGGTCGCCAGAGGGAGGGAGGTGAGAGGAAGGGAGGGGGGCTGCCTGTGGAAACACCTGCATCTTGGGCATCACCTTGTTCTGCTCCTTGGCCTCAGGCTCCCAGGTGTGGTCCTAAGGGGGTTTGCACAGCCCAGAGCTGGGCCCGGGGAGGTCTGGCCCCATCACTGACTTCCCTGCTAGTGGTCACTGATTGGCCTTTCTGTGCTCCCCGTGGGACTAGAGGCAGAGGCACGGCCTGGCTGGGGGTGGGGGAGCCCAGCAGTCCATCCATAGCCAGGGGGGAGCTATGGGAAGAAGGTGGGCCTGCCTGGGTCCAACACCACTGAGGCACGGTGGGGGCACAGCTCCCTTGGGACCAGTTCTAGGCTGCCCTGACCTCACAGGCTCTATGTGTACTGGAACACCAACTACTGGCTGCTTGGGCCTCCTGGGTCCCAGAGGCCTCTCTCACAGGCCTGCCTCAGCTCCTCCTCCCTGGCAGGAATCCCAAGAGTTTCCTTGAATCAGCTGTTTGCAGTGCTCTTGTCACCAGGAGATAGCAGTGACTGTACTTTGCCTTATCACACAAGTTTGTCCATTGTTAAGGAAATAAAGGCAGATAAGTAAAAAGAGAAAAGCAGCCATACTCTGTTCTCTAAGGATGCTAATAAGTTGGGGCACTTCCAGCTTTCCCCTGTGCATTTCTATACACATAAAACATATACATGTATTTATGATCGGAAAGGGATATGTACTTGACCTGCTTTTTTTCCATTTTCACCCATAATCAATAAGGACTTTTTTTTTTAACAATCACAATTCCCATTAACAAAATTAACAATAATTCCTTCATATCATTTAACACCCCATCAATCCAAGTCCAACCTTCCCTAATTATCTTAAAAAAATGTGACTTCCCACTTGGTTTGCTTGAATCAGGATGCAAACACATTGCACGTGACTGATATGTCTCTTAAGTCTCTTTTAATCTATTATAGTCCCCCTCCATTTTTGTGTAAATACCATTATTATGTTGAAGAAACCAGGTCATCTGTCCTCGCCATACTGTTTTTGCATTTGTTTTCACTTAAATGATTTTCATTTAATAAACTGTTAAATTCCTTTCTATGTCAATAATTATACATCATCATTGTTTTTTCTTTTTGTGAGGAAGATCAGCCCTGTGCTAACATCTGCCAATCCTCCTCTTTTTGCTGAGGGAAACTGGCCCTGGGCTAACATCCATGCCCATCTTTCTCCACTGTATATGGGGCACCACCACAGCATGGCTTGACAAGCAGTGCATCGGTGCACCCCCGGGATCCGAACCCTGGGCTGCCTGCTGCAGTGGAGCGCGCGCACTTAACCGCTATGCCACCAGGCCGGCCCCTATGTGTCATCATTTTTAATCACCATATCCTGTTGTGAAGACGTACTATCATTTATAAAGCAAATCACAATATTGGGGTATTTGGATAGTCTACAGGGTTTGGGGCTTATAATAAAGTTGCAATGATTATCCTTGTGCCTACATTTTTGTACTCCTGACTTATTATTTCCTAAAGTTATGTTTTAGAATGAAAATAGCTGGGTTGAAGAGTATGCACATTTTAAAGGCGACTTAGACAAGAAAACAAAATACTGATATTGAGACTATCTAAAAAATCTGAGATTGGGGATGCCCCAGGCCATGTACAATGTGGGAGGACTCTAGGGTCTGGGGGAGATTTCAGGGTCTGCTGAGGACGCGGCCATGAAGCCACTGGTTCCCTGACTTCAGGCCAACATTGGGAAAGTTGGAGGCTTGGGCCTCGCCGTATATAAACTTGGACATGTCACCAGTTCCTCAGACCTCAGTTTCCTTATTAGTAAACTCGGTGGTCCCTTCCAACTCTGGGAGTACTGCCAGGACATGACAACAAACAGCCCCTGTAAAGGGCTGGTGTAGGATTCACAGGGAACTGTGGCTGGGTTACTGTGGTACAGTGGACCCTGTCAATGAACTTTTGCTGGAAGACTCTCCCCACCCCACCAAACTTCAATGCCAGGCGACTTGGTACCAACTGCCAAACTTTAATAAGTCACTAGGAGGAAGTGAGGGTGGCGTGTGTAGAATGTTCCTTTTTGGCTTTGGCCTCTCTTAGGTAGATGCAAATCCATGTGGCATAGACTGAATTGGGGTAGTTATTAAGATGCAAGTCTTGGATTCTCAGACCCCAAGAAATTGACAATTTGTAGAACTCTTAAGGAACTTTGTCGTCTGAGGGAATGATTCCTATATAATTGTCACATTACTATTTTAATCTCTTGTCACATATATATGTTTAATGCTGTGTTTATATAGCTTAACACTGTAGATTTTCGAGTGTGCTTGCATATTTGCGCTTGCATGTTTTTTCCTTCAGGAACACTGAATTGAATCCTCTCTCTTGTCACCATTAT